ACCAGATACCACGAATATTACTTAAACTCTGCCTGCGACCTCATATGCAACGCAAGGCGCCAGGCCGTCACGCCCCAATACACGCAGAGCTGCTCAAGACGCTGCGGCCTTGCACGGACCGGCTTGCTCCACCAATCGATGTAGCGATCGACGGCCGACGCAATGCCATACTCCACACGCAACATCAAGCACTTTATACGGACTCCAAGCAGTGACGTTGACAGCGTTGGAGCTGCCAGTAGTCAAAGCGGAGTTTCATCACGTGTGGACACAATGCCAGCAGAAGGTGTTGCCTGTCGTGGCAACGCCGCCTGATCCTACAACAGCCTGAGCAACTTCCACGGTCGCATCCAGCAAGTCGGCAAAGGAATTGCCAGAAGGATACTGGCACGCCCAGGTTGCCAAGTTCGAGGCGGTCTTGATTGGAGACGTCAAGCGGCGCTTCCCACAAGAGCTCTTGCTAGGCGCAGAGACAGTGGCGGCAAGGGCTCTGCGCGAATCCCGCATGCGCACCCACACAGCCATTGGACTTCATGAGGTCGCCCAGAGTAGGTTCATCAATGCAGCAGGAGAACCCAATCCCTTGTCAGCAGCGTGCAAGAAAGCCAATGAGGCTGGCCTCACCGATAACATGAAGCAGTACTTGTTGGCGCGGGACATCCGGTCTATGGCCATGATGGCATCCATGGCCGACAAAGTCGAGGAGCTTGACTCCGTGCTTGTTGGGCCCATGGAGAAAGCCTTCAAAGTCAGCGCCAACCGCATCGAGGATCTTGTTGAAGTCAGTCACAAGCGTAGCCGTGGCAACGCCTAAGTCCCGCAGGAAAGCTCAAAACTTGTACAGCACAGCACTACACACTCTCAACTCGCTACTAGCCCAAGCAATCAGCTGCGGGCGTATCACACAGACAGTCGGGAGTCAAATGTACACACGCACGCAGGCTTCCCACACAAGTCGGCAAGGGCACGCTCACAACAATTGACAAAGGCTTCTCGCGCACTTTACGCAATGAGACGCACGCTGCACAGGAAGTCCCTAATCCCACGGATACCAGATTCACTAAGAAGAGCGGCGCCGTAGTACCATCCACACTTGCTGCGCCATAGCACGGGCAAAGCGGTTGCCTCGTTGAGGTCTCGCAAGTGGGCCCTCTTGCCGACCACCAGGGCTGGCCGGATCTGCAACCGCTCAACGGATGCGGCGAGCTCTTCAATTTTTGCCAAAAGCTGGGTTGCAAGCGCAGATGCTGAGTCGGTGTCTTGAAGTGTCTTGTGACGGCCCTGAACTCGCACTAGCCTGACGATGGTTGGCGGGCAAGTTGCGGCAAAATCTGGAATTCGGACAACGCACTGTCCTGTACGTAGTGCTCCACTGAGCGCCCACCACCCCATCGCCCAAGCAGCATAATCGTACTCAATGGCACCTGTCATCTGCTGAGAAACTGGGCTCCGCTAACTCGGAGGGCATGGCCCTGGAAGCGCTGCACGGGCCCATCACTGCCTTCACGGACGAGCGCTATGCCACTAGCCGCCACAACGCTGCGAATGATTGCAATCGTCTCGGCCTTGGCCATGGTCGCCATGCCCAGCAAAAAGCAGGGCTCAGGGGCTCGAGGCTTAATCTTGTCAACGGCCTTATGGGCATAGGCGGAGCGGGAGGATATCACACGAGCATCTATGCGTCCGAACCACTGAAGATCCGATCTGGTCGACCTTACTACACTGCAATGTCAATGTCAAGGAAACGAACTGCTTGTCAAAATCCAAGTGGAAGTCCCTTGTCCGCAACATTCCGCAATGCAGCCAGCTCCAGCTCCCTCATCAGGAACCACGACCCAAGCAACATGACGCTTGCTGCAATCAACGCATCCCGTGTGGCCACGGCTGGATCAACAGGTCAAGCAAAGTCTTCTAAGCGGAAGGAGTCCTTGAGTTCCGTGACTCCCAAATCACGTTTCAAGCTAAGCTATGCTGCGCATCACGAATCTGCCCTGCGTTTGTAAAACACGCTCACGTCTGGCACGGCAGAAGTACTGCTTACCCGCTGCGATACCCCCCTCTTTCAGAGAGGCTGCAACTCTTTCGATAACTTCCTGCCTCAAACACGACAGAAGGTTTATTTCCACCTCGCATCCTGCGACGCAGTGTTGCTCCTGGCCCGAATATCCTTTCGGAAGCATTCCAGCATCTCTTCACGACGCGCCGGCTCATCATCCCTTGGAGGGTGCTTCACTGGCAAGTCCGTCCGCCTTGCTCTGGCACGTGCGGCCGAGACTGCCCCGTCACCTAGCGCGGTGATCAGCACCGCTTCAAGCGACGCAAGGAGCTGGGGCGGCGCCGTAACGGAATCAATTCCCCGCGTATCACACTCCAACAGGAACGTGGGCCCTAATCCAGAGTCAATCAAGGCCTGCGTCAACCCTGTGAAGTTATCGCTGTATGCCGTGCTCCCGCACTGGGTTCTAAATAGTCTAGACTCACACAATCGCACAAATGCCTCAAAGCCGAAACAGAGTCATGCCGCACAGAAAAGCTTCTGCCAACTGCAAGCACAGTCAACTGCATCACTCGCACGAAGCGTCACGTGTACACTCACCCTCTTTGTCAACAGATGCAGGATCGGTATTCTCAAAAGCAGTATGCTGGCGTCGCCTGACTGCAACGGACACGGGACAAGCTAAACCAAAAGCCTATAGGACTATGCAGGGAGACATCTACCAGATTCTACCACCGAAGCCACCGAAGAGCTCGTTCTCCATTCACCATGTCAACTGCAAACGGAGCTCGACACAGCAGCGCAGGCGAGGCCGCCGCAAGTCGGGTGCGCCGCAGCGCAGGCGCAGCCACCGTGTGTCTCAAATTGAATGGATCGCACAGGCACAAAATTTTGAGCGTTCAATCTGCGGAACTCACGCAAAGTTTCACGCTCTTGCATGTCATTACGTACACTGCGTGCACTACACTGCATGCTTTGGCAGATGACCTACCAAATCTTTCGCCAGAATCAAGTCGAACTGACGGCACAATTTCAGCTCAGCTGTTACACATCAGACCAGTCGCCTGACCTACGCTAAAACTTATGTAATCCGTCTTAGTCAGAGTTCTCAGGCATGGGGAAAACAAAACAGCAGCCGCAAACATACCGCAAATGGCCCCACCTCGACATGCCTGGGAGATTGGACGAAGGTTGCAACCTTCAAAATCTGATCACAGATATCCGGGGTCGAGAATTTTTGATCAAGGTGGCTTTCGGGTCACTAGCAACATCAACTACCGTCTACAGTACACCGATCAACTGAAGATCTTGCAAGGATGCTCACCAGACTCGCAATCCATGTTCCTGGGGCGTCTTCCTTAGGACTTTGATTGCTTCAGACAGCGCGCCTTTGCGGCCAATCAGGCGGGGAACGAGCTCAAAGTCTGCCTGCGGCCAAGTCAGCAAAGATGCACAGGAATCTGTCTTGCGGAGTTCAATGCAGAAACCTCAGAGCCTGCTCAAGGCGTGTCCAGACCCAATCGTCAGACAAGGGCCACAGCGAAGAATACCATCAAATCATCGTGGTGACCTCGACTTGCTGCAGCCAGGCAGCGTGGTTGGTGGCATCGAAGCCCGTGAAGACAAAGCGGCATAGGAACTGCCCGGCTTTTCCTAGCACAGGTCGTTGCTGGATACCGGCAAGCAAACCTCACGCCGCCTCGAACCGTGCCTGCTCGTCGTCGCGGAGCAAGCTCCACTTCAGCAGCCTCTGACATGCAGAAACTTTAGTTGTCACGCGTAGAAAGCGCACATATGAGCGCATGCAAGGAAGTCGCATCATCTACGACAGGTGGGTGAGGAAATGCATCTGGAAGATACCAGAAATACTGACCACATCCCGGGATCTGACCACCATTCAGGTATATCGAGCATGCATGCTGCGCTGTCAAGTCCAAGACAACCAGGAACCTGCGGTGGCGGCGGCAGAGGTGGAACTGGCCTGGTACAGGTCGACTTCGCTGAGCAGGCTTCGGCATCAGCTAAGATCCCATCAAAGCCGAAATGGAGAAACAGATTTCATGTTGTGGTTAGTTTGTGGAACTCCCAAAAGCCAGCAGATATGGCAGATCTTGGCCTCTCAAGTCCAGGCGGCAGCGTTGGCGCATCAAAGGGTGGGGGCACAGGCCTCAGGGAAGTGCACGATGGACGGACAGGTGTTTTCTGATGCCATAGTTGAATCGTTTTCGTAAGCTACATACTCCCGAACGCTACTTGCACGTACTATAGCCCAATCAGGACGTCAGAGACTGGCACGAAAGCAACACTCTGCGTAGACAAATTGACTTGATTTGCACGACTCCGTTTACGTTGCCGCATGTCTTGGCCCCAGAACAAGCCAAACTGCAACTTGCACCATGCAACAGGCCGGGGTGCCAGGATGAAGTCGAGAAGGCCGTGGGTGAGAACTGCGCAGGCCTGAGGCCGCGTAAGTCGGAGAAGACATGATCACAACGGTCTTTCTGCCCCCGCCTGACTTCCGGAGTGGTGCTCAAACAGGTGAATCGGCCAGCTCGTGCCTCGTCTTGCCGATTGATGCTCTCAATCTTTTACAGCCAAGACGTGACAGCGATGGAGGGCGAGGGTCAAGTCTCTAGCTCTCAAGGAGTCCATGACCCAAGCTCTACTGAAGCTCGCGCGGAATCTGAAATCTTTGCCTGGGTCGCCTTTTCAAAGCCTCGACACTTCAAATGAACCAGGGGGAATCTTGCATCAGGATGGCTGGCGCTTTTTGCTTGACGTTCTAGGCACGCCATCAGGCTTGCAAACAGGCTTGCAAACATCGTTGTCAGAACATGTGCCCTTAAGTACGTCAAAAACTTGGCTGAGGAATGCTTCTAGCAGTTCCTGCGTAAGTTTACTTCGTGGCAAGATGTGTAGGTCCAGTTTTCTTGCTTGCATAAGAAAACTGCAGCGCTCGAATTGCCTCTTTCTTGGACGCCGTATGACATCCACAACACGGGAATGCGGGATTGGGGCGAGCATCGGGCGCTTATCGCTGACTATGGCATGTGGCATAGGCCTCCTCCCTAGCTGAAAATCCTGCAGTACTTTCACACAAACCTGTAGTTCACGAACCCTCATGTGCTGCGTAGGACATGGCTCCTAGCTCAGTTACCGCATAATCAGGATCCATCCTTGCTTACATTAGACCCCAAGTCCTTTCTGAGAACAAAAGAATTGCTCTATGCGACTCAGGCCAGAGGGCATGGAATGGTATACCAATAAAAAATACCGGGAAGCATCACGCACCAGTTTTGGTTCTTCGGCTCTCAACAGCCTCTGAAACCTTTCAAGTCTCTCAAACATGCACATGAATTGCCATAACCTGCCCAAAGGAGAGAAATAGAACCTGACAAAGTTCGTCTGCGCTCGTCCCTGGAGGATCCGTTCCTGACTGTATGGACTGCCTGCAGTCAAGTTTACCTCCGAAGCTGCCCAGGCCGCCAAAGCCGGCAAACTGGAGACGCAGTGCCTGGAAGAATGGAGAATTTCCATCATGCTACGGCATTTCTGGCGGGAGAGTAGGATGCAAAGCTGAGCAGCTGGCTCGCGAGTTGCATCTGTGCTGACTTCGCCGCTCTTGGCTCCGGTCTGCACATGCATTGGAGACGAGGAGGTCGGGGAAGCTGAGTCCTTCAAGGCAGGGTCTGAGCTGGCAAGTCTCAGACAAAGCATCTGCTTCCAACTCAAACTTCTGCTTGTTGACATGCATGTGTCGCAGTGACCAGCCCTCTTGCATGGTCCTTCCAGCAAGAGGCAGGGATGGGGACCTGCAG